GGCCCCCACCCTCCCCCCAGGGCAGCCTCCCCCCGAGAAGGAACAGCTCAAGCCGAGAGAGGGGAGAAGGCCCCCACTCCCTGCTGCCACAGCCTGCCAATCTGTGAGACCTCACGAACTTCCCCCTTCCTTCCCAAGGGATCCTCAGAGGGAAGCTATGAAGTCTGAGCTCAGGGTGGGGCTGCTGGAATAGCCCGCTGGAGGGCCCGGGGTGGTGTTTTACACCCAGCAGACTAGCCCCGACATCAGCCTGGGGCCCAAGAGGAGCTTCCCAGAAGTTAGGTCCACCACTGCATAGGCCTCTAGGCGCCAAGGGGCAGCCAGCGAGAGCCTACAGGATTCACATGAAATTTGTGGCCAACGGGGCTGGGCTTGAATCCCGGTTAACTCCCCGACTACGGAGGCAACATCTTTTCTCTAAACCTCAAACAGCCCATCTATGAAATGGGTACAAATTATCTCCCACAGGAAGAAGGGACAGGTGTCTGGCACGGACCCTGGGTGTGGGATAGGGGGCATCTGTGAGAACGAAACATCACCTCCATCAACTCCCACCCTGGGAAGGTACTCTGGTGGCTGGGGCCTCAGCCTGAGCACTCAAGGTCCGGGAGGGGGGCTCCCACAGAGGTGGGAAGGTGGGGCCCCCCAACAGCCAAAATGGTACAGATGACAGACACACGTTGGCTGCCCCCCTGTGGCTGAACTTGAGAACTGCTACTCAATCCATCTCTTCCCCCCACCACCCCCCACAACCTGAGGTGGAGGGGGATGAGGCTCAGAGCACCTGAGGGTGGATGTCCGCTGAGCAGGAGAAACTGAGGCCCCACATAAGTGAAGCACGAACCCAGAAGCCTACTGGGGCTGGGGGCAGGGTGGGGGGGCGGGTACAGTCTGTGCCCAGGTCCTTCTAAAAAGGGGTGGTGGCTACTCAGCGCCAACCACTACCTGGCGGAAACGGGGGCCAAGCACGTTCAGATCTTCTGATTAAAGAACAGAACCCAAACTGGCAATCGGGGTTTTTACGTGAACCCTCCCAGTTCCGGGACACCAGGGCTGACAGCCACTGAGCCCTTCCCACACCCCAGCAAGTACTGTGTAGATGAGGACGCACAGAGAGGTTTAGGAGCTCGCCCCAGGCCACCCAGTGAGTCCGGAAGCTAAAGCTGGGATTCAGAAGCCACCGTCCTCCCCGGCCCGAAACTCACCCAGCTCAGCGCTCTGCTGCGGGGTGACAGCCTCCTCGCTGTTGGCCTCATTGGCCATCGAGCGGGTGATGCGGCCTTTGCGTCTTCCCTGGCTGTTGGCAGTTTTGCGGCCTTTGGAGGCCACTGCCTCCTTCTCATCGTTGTCCTCCCCAGAGGTGTCGTCCGTCTTCTCCCTGAAGGCCAGAGAGAGAGACAGGGATGGCTTCGCCTGCGTCAGGAAACCAGACAGCCGCTGCAAGAGACCTGCTTTTCTTTAGCTCGAGGAGTGCTGGCTGCCAGGGGGTTTGTACCAGTCAGAGGCTGGGAGTCAGGGAAAGCTCGGGGTAAGGGCTGGTGGGCCACAATCCGCAAGCCTTCTCCATGCACCAGACGAGGGGACGCGGCTACCGGCTCTCCGCAGTGCCCCTGTATTTGTGCAAACCTCAGCTTTATATTCTCCGAAGGAGGGCTGGGGTCCGGTAGGAAAACGGGAGAGCTACACACAGGCCGTCTGTAAGACCATCTCACACACCCAACAGGGAGCTGCTCTCTGCTACCCGTCCGCAAGACTACTGCACTAAGTGCATGGGGTGCAGGCGGGTACGACCTACAAGGCCACCTCACTCCCCAAAGCACAGAGGCTCAGCAGGGCTCTAGAAACGGCACTTGCTTTGCTGCCAGTTATTACCAAGGGCCCCTGTGCCTTGCAGCACACACAAAAGGGAAGTCTCCTGCCGGGCTTCTGCAGCTGAGCCAGGTGTGTGGGGGTGCATGTGACCTCCGTACCCAGGGCTGGGGCTTTCTCAGAAGCCGACTCAGGAGGGTTGACTGTGGGGCCGCTTGGATTTACCGCCCCCGCCTCCCATTCATCTTCCCGAAGGCCCTGCCTGGACGTCTGGGAGACAGGGGGTAACGAAGCCAGATGTTCCCTGAAGCCACATTCCTGAGCCTCTTCCAGGTACCTGGCACGAAGCCGTGCCCGCCCCCCCTCCGGCGTGAATCTCCAGCTGGCTGTGCTCGGCACCCGCCCCTGGCAGGCACGGGAGGCTGTGCCTTGATCTGCAAGAGCTCACGCTGACAGCGATAAATCTAAAGGTGAGGGCAGGGCCCGCCTGCATACCTAGTCCTTCCGCCAGCTTCTCTGATCCCCCTTCCCCCGCCTGGCATCTCGGGAGACTTGGCGGAGGAGGGGGAGGAGATGAGGAGGCAAAGAGCTCCAAAGTCATTGCCTAGATTTATTAGCTCAGGAGTAGAGCTCAAATGAGCTATCAGTCTCTGAGGTCTCCAGAGGGTTTGAGGAGGAAAGGGCGGGCGGGAGGAGAGGGGAGGGGGCCGGGCAGGCTTCCGGAAGGGGGGGCTGTCAGGTTCAGACGGAGCCGAAAACGCCTCCCTTCCCGGCAGGCAATCGGTAGATGCCAAACTGCTGTCCTCACAGCCTCAAGCGGAGTCGGGAGCAGCTCCGCACCACCTGGGGGGGCGAGGCTGGGCCCCAGCTGGGCGGCCCGGCGGCCTTACTTGCTCAGTTCCTCCTTGTCGTTCTCCACGTCCGGCTTCTCCTCCTCCTTCTCGGCCTCCTTGTCCTTCTCCTTCTCCTCCTTCTCCTCCTGGTTGCTCCGGGGCATCTGCTGTTGCTGCTGCTGCTGCTGGAGGGAGGGCAGGGGGAGGAGGAAAACAGTGAGACAGGTGAGTCTCCGCACCTGGGCTGAGCAAGCCCCAGCCACAGCCTGGGGTCCTGTAGCCCACGGGGTCTGGGGAGGCAGGAGTCCCAGGCAAGGTGTAGAAATCGGAAGCCTGGACTCAACTCCTGCGTCCTCCATTTGGTGGCTGTGTGACCTTAGATGAGGATCTTAACCTCTCTGTGCTGATTCTGCCCCTTGAAAGCAGGGCTTTTCAGCATGCCTACCCCTCAGCCCGGGGCCAGGAGGCGGAAATGAGAGCACCCTCACAGAACTGGAGTCTGGCGTGGGTGTTAAAGTGGGACTGACACCATCAACAGCACAGGGAGGGCCGCCGGTCGGCCTCTGGCCAGAGCAGACTGAGCACCAGGGAACCTGGGGACACATCCCTGACCAAGCTCAGGCCACCTCTCAGCCTGTCACCACATCTGCAGAATGGGCGGGCGGGAGGGGTGTCCTGGGCCCCGGGCCCATTTGAAGGTGCTTGCTGCCATGTCGAGGACCCACTCTTGCAACAGCTGGCTTGCTCTCCTCGCATCAAGGGGAAGCGAACCTCCACTTTAGGGGGAGATGAATGGGGCTCACAGCAAACCAGCCTCCTCCCGAAGGCTCTTATTTCATCTGCCCAGCGGCAAGGCACGTACGGGGCTGCCTGCCCCATCACCCTGGGCCGCTGAGCCTGCCCACGTCAGGACAGGAGAGAAAGTGAGGGCGGCCTGCTCCTTCCCGAGAGGTTGCCCGACTTCCTTTCTGCCCTGCCTGATTTCTTTTAAAACATACACTGATCCTCTCGGCCACCCCAAAGTCCTCCCTGCAGGCAACTGCCAAACCAGACCATCTTTCCGTGCCGATGAGCCAAGTGAAAGGAAAAGCCTTGCCACTGAAGAGCCCTGGGTGCATGGCAGGGGTATGGTCACACCGATCATCAGACAAGGAGAAAGAAACCATGCCGATGGATGGGGGGGCAGGCGGGGTGTCGCTCCCTCCCTGCGTCTTTCCTCCGCATCAGGAACACACGCCCGTCCGACTCCGACACCCAAGGCTGCCTCGGCCTGCGACCCCCTCCCTAGACCCTCTCGTGGGGCTGGAATTTAGGAAGCAGGGGGGTGGGCGTTCTGCGGATGCTGGGGCCCAGAGCGTGGTCTGCATGCTCGCAGGGAACCCTGCGCTCCCTGAAGCTGTGGCAGCAGCTGCCCTGGGCCCGCCTGGCTTGGCTCTGCCTCCCCGTCTCCAAGAACCCCCTCTATTCTGTCGGAGGAGGCAAGGGGCACGACGGCTGGACTTGGAGCAGCCCCTCCACCCCCACCATGTTGCTGCCAATTTCCGGTGGCTGGCCCTTAAGTAGCCTGTCCCTCACCCCCAGAACCCCTCAAACACTAAAGCATAAACTTTCCGCCACCTAGGAGCTATGGCCACCTCTCACACCCAAAAGGCGAAGTCTCTTTTGGAGCTGTCCGTCCCAGCAGTGGAAAGGGGGACAGAGAGGTTTCCTGGTTTGTTCCAACACAGCGTGCCCTCTGCACACTCACCTGACGAGGGCAAGGGGGGGTGAGCAGGGGTCAGGGACCTGGCTCCAGGGCAGGAGAGATAGCGTGGCTGATTGGGGAGGGGTCCCCTGCCCCATGGGCCACCTGGTGTGGCTACTGTCTCCACCTGTCAGATTTGCTGACTTCTACAACACCTGGGAGCCTGACGCCAGGCTTTCCAGGGGCTTTCCAACCACAAGAAGCTTGGCATCTTCCAACACCTGCCTTCAGCTACATCTGCACTCAGACCCCCCCGCCTAGGCAGCCTCACTCCAAATGTTTTCTTGCTGTCCCTCCCAACGGCCACATGGGCCCAACTCCAGGCCACCCTCCAGGAGGCACCTATCATCATTCCCTGGATCTAGCCTGGTGGGGCCTCAAAGCGCCCCGGGATCTCATCCTCCACAAAGCAGACCACTGCCCATCCCAGCACAGCCAGGAGGTGCAGCTCCCCACCCACGGGGGCCCAGCCCGCGCCAATGCCTCCTGACTAATAGGGGCAGAGGCCCAGGAGGGTCTGCATCTGTGCCACACTGAACTACATCCCTTCCTGTGGCCCTCCCCCCTCGGAATCCTGGAGAAACCCCACTAGGAAGATGCCAACACTCTCCGAGGGCTGACTACACGCCTGACACTGAGCTGCGCACATTCTGTCGACTGGCTCCTGGCCTTGTGAATCCCAAGCACAGTGAAGAAGACGAAAAACCAAGAGTAACAGTTGCTGGGGCTCCATCCACAAAGGCGGCCTGAACCAGGCACCACACCAAACACCCTGCAAGTGCTACCCTGCTCCATGCCCTTAGCCAACCTGAGACAGGAAGGGTAGTGACCCACGTTCCCATCCTGCAGGGAGGCAAAGCCTCACGGTCTCAGAGGGAGGAGAGCTGATGGCCTGGTCCTGTGGTCCCCAAAGCCCTACTCAGAGTCTCTGACCAGAATCTGGGGCCTCGGGTGTGTGTGTGGGGGGGGGGTCTTTAGGCGTCCCTGCCCCTTCCTACCTAGCCCACCCTGTCCCCCGTTCAAGACTCCTCGAGCCCCCACCTGAGCCTGGGCTGACCCGTAACCACCCTGACCCCTGAATCATCATCCACATCACAGCACGAATAACAAAAATCGCTCTAAGTGCCAGGCCCCAGGCACTGTTCTATGAACTGCAATCACCTCCTTTACCAACCCCTTCATTCTCCCACTTTACAGAAGAAGAAACTGAGGCACAGAGACGTCGAGTGACAAACCCGGTCAACGGCAGTGCCAGGATTCCAGCCCCGGCTACGCCCAGCCTCCTCTCCTGCCATCTCCGCCTGCCCCGGCGGGCCCCTCACTCCTCAGCTGGTGCTCTGAGCCAGATCCCCCCGACCTGTGCCCACCTCGCGGGGAGGCTCAGAGGAGTCCCCGTCAGCACTAGAGCCTGGTCACTATTCCCGTCCCTTCCCGCCCAGTGTGCAAGCCCGGTGCCAGGCACCTGTGCCCCCGCCCGGACACTCTCCCAAGCCCTAAGCGCACGGGTGGGGAGGAGGGGCAGCGGAGCAACACCGCCGTGGAGCCGTGGCACAGAGCCCCCAGATGGGCTCACGGTGCCCTGTGACCTGACCGCCATCTCCCTTGGGTGAGGTGTCCCGGCACGCCGAGCTGAGTGGCACTGGTGCAGGGGACAGAGGGAGGAACCCCAGGCCCATCCTGGCCTGAAACACGTTTTCCAGGGACAGAGGCTCGTCGGGCACAATAATGACCATCTGTCTAGCCTCCTGCTGCATGCAGGAGATCAACGGGCCGATTTAGGAGCGCTCCATTCACTCCAGATTTACGGGGCGAGACGGGATCCCAACTCACAGGCCCCCGCAGCCAGGTCAGTCTCCGAAAGCCTTCGATGGTCTAGGACAGCAAACAGGAGGACGAACACCCACTACGGCTCCCCGTCTGGACCTCAGGCCATCCACGGCTGTGGAACCGCACTTGCTGGCTTTCACGGGCGATTCAGAGCCAAGGTTCCCACTGCCTGATGGCCGCACACACAGGTCACCTGGGGAGCTCTGGGAAGTCCTGACGCTAGGGCCACGCCCACACCAATCACAAATCCCCAGGTTATTCTGATGGGTAACCAGGCTTGAGAACTCGTGCTTTAGACAAGGAGCTGACAAACTTTTGCTGTAAGAGGTTAGCTCTGTACGGCCACAGGTCCACTGGTTTCTGTCACAACTGCTCAACTCGACGCGGTTTGTAACTTGAAAGCAACCAAAATGTAAACCAACAGGCATGGCTCTGTGCCAATAAAGCTTTATTTACAAAATAGGCAGTGGGCCAGATTTGGCCTGAGGAGCCATAATGTGCCCACCCCTGCCCCAGACTAGCGCTGCTCAATCTAGACAGTGCCCGAATCAGCTGGGGATAGTGGGAAAATGCAGATTCCGTGTGTCTGGGGTGGGCCTGAGCCTCTGCATTTCTAGGCAGCTTCCTGGGGAGGCTGATGCTGCTAGTTCCCGGATCACACTGAGGAATGAGGCTTTCAGGGATCCTTCTTTCACAAAACACACCAGGACCCTTGCCACTGGTAGCAGGTGACACCTGTGGACCCGGGGATAGATCCGGAGGCCAAACTCCATCTCAAACGACTGTGCAGCTCATGAGGAAGGGGCTACCTCTGCTTTTCAGACACGTCAATGGTCAGGCTCACGATGGGCTTCATGCCCAGTACTCAGTTGGGAACGTCCCTCCCAAACCACAGCACGGCTTTGCAGAAAACCTGACCGGATCTACGGTTAGCCAGAGCCATCAGTTCTGATCCCTGAGGGACCCCTGCTTCCGGAGCGCTGAGTGCAGGACAGGCAAGCGGCAACGGAGCCTGCACTGTGCTGAGCCCCAGGCCAGGGCTGCACGGAAAACTGCACGGATAAAAACACATCCAGACGAAGCCTTCTCCTCATTCTCCCTGTGAGTTAACGGAATCCTCCCAACAGGCCCGGGACTACCTCTGTTCTATAGAACAGGACACAAGGCCATGGAGAAGTCCGGGAGCTCGCCCCAGGTTGCACGGCATTTCCTAGCAAGATCCTACGGGCAGGTGCTGTGCCTGCTACCCGGGGCCGGGAGGTCACGGGCTCCCCCCGTTCAAGCCAAACCATGCCACCACCTGTGCGTTCCCCCCACACTCATGCTCTGAGCCCACCAGGGGGACACCACGCCACCAAAAATGCGGTCCCCAGCCTTCCGGAGCTGGCGCCTCAGCTCACAGTGACCAGGAACTCTGCCAGGGCAGAAGGAGGCTCAGTGCCGAGGAGACTTCAAAAGGCCCAGCACGCAGCAGATGTGGTGGCAGTTCTGCCTGCCCCACGGGGACAGGGAAGGAGGCCTCTGAGTGGAGTCCCCAAAGGCTTTCGGTTCACAAGGATGAGAGGGGACACTGCAGGGAGAGGACCTGCCTGGGCAAAGGCACGGCGACGTGAA